AGGCGCGTGGATTTAGCGTCTCGTCGTATCTGAAGCGTGTTTGTGTCGTCGCGGCGAGTGGTCACTCATGTTGCATAGCACCGCCAACGACGTCGGTCATTGTCGTGTACCTACACTACACTCTACGCACTCTGCACTGCGTACGTAGTGCTCTTGCATCGAGCAACGTCGTATTTTGGATCCATCAAACTGGCGGCGCCAGTCGAGCGTCCTGCAACACGCAAGGCTAAGTGCACGCAACTTGACATTGAAACACTCGGTCGCAGGACCGAGAGGACAGTGTACCCACGGATGGTCGTGCAGCGTTTACGCTGGCTCGCGGCTATCAACGAAGCGACCGTACGCTGCACCGGTGCTGTCATCAAGCTCCTTGTCGCTTTTTCAACTCAACGCATGGCACGTTGCGCCCCTCTGTCTAGTCGGTGGATTTCTGCTTCGTAAGCGGAAGGCACAGGGTTCAATCCCCGCTGGCGCAGGCTTTTCCCGCCGCCGTCCATGAAAAACCATTATCCTCACATTGTAAAAGCGTCCAACATGTTTCTCCCTAGGCAGTCAGCGCGCAATTCGACAACGGCAAAGGTGCAGCTGCAGCAGTCAAGCCGAGGACCGCTTCGGCAGGCCAGGCACATGAACTTGTGTGGGGATGGGCGCAATGCTCCCTCGTAAAGGGCCAGCCGTTGCGGGACTCGGGGCGGCGCTGCTGCTGCTACTCTTTTTGCCAACTGTTGTTGCTACTCGTTTAACCATCGATATCCTAACCACAGTATCCAAGCGTATTCTCGTCTTGCTGTTCTGTCATCGACGACACGCTGCAGAAGACTTGGTTTCTAGAGAGAAAGGGGCTGTCAGAAGACACGACTCGAACCCAAGCCATTGAGTGCATAAAGGGGCTTGTCCACATCATCGCAATGACACCGCCAGTCGTCGTGTTTGGATCAACAGACCAGGAACCAGTTCGTGACCAGCAGCGAATTTGCAACCTCCACCTGCCTCGCCACGTACTGCAAAACCACCCAACGCTCTGGCACAGAGCTGCATTGATGTAGGTTCATTCTGAAATTGGTATTAATAGGACCTTATGTTTGCCTCCTGCGCCCAAGGTACACCGTCGATCGCCGCCTATTCCACGGGGTCTCCACGACCCGCTTGTAGCTATCGATGGCTTTGAGCACTCGTGTGGCATGTCCTTGCGCGGCTACAAGGCCAAGGGCCACTTTACGCCCAAGCGTACGTCTCGTCGAACAGGTTTCGATCGCTGTATACTCCAACTCGTAGCGGCCGGCTTGCATCTCGATGCTACCAAGAGCGCATTTGGCGCTACGGTCGCCATTGACCCCGCGTTTGTACCGCCCCAGGCGAGACCAAAGAAACAAAAGGCGCCGTCACGCGCGCCCTCGAATCAGTCGCGCGACCCGACCCGTCGGCCGCAGAGCGCTGCTCGCACCAAGGCTGCGCCGGTCGACTTTGTCTACGACGTGGACACACGCAAGGCGCTGCGTCAAGCGCTCGATAAGGAGCGGAGAGAGCTCCTCCAACAAGCCCAGGAACGCGAGCGCACGCTGCGCGACGCAAATCTCTGGCTCCACGACCGCCGCAACGACCAGGGCTCTGCCAAGGCCAAGAGCCAGCCGACCAAGACGACGACCCGACCCAAGCCCACGAGCAAAGAATGCTGGATAAGCAGCAGTTGCGAGGACCTTCTGCGCGCAGTCTCTGTTGCTGTCGAGATCAAGGACGATGCCGACGACGAAATCACGTGGACTTCATCGGGCACCACCAAGTCGAAGACCAAAAGGAAGCAAGGGCGGCCGTTAACGGCCAAAGGCCCGCGCAACTCGGTCGCGGAGAATGTGCATCGGTCGGCGCCGCAGACGCAGGCGTACCATCGTGGCAGCTAGGTGGATGAGGATGCATCGTTCGGTGTGCCAAGACGCGACGCCGTTTAAGTTATACATGTCCATCATGATTGATGAGGAGGAGTGTGTACTGTTTGGCTTAGCCCGTGCGCAAGGGCGGCGCCACGAGCACGATGACGTCGCCGCGCACAAAGAGCATCTCGACCTGGCGCTTGGCCTGCTTGACGATCTCTTCGTACGTCTCTTGGTCAACTTCATGGCTCGTCACGGTCTCCTCGACGTCGCTCAGGATCATGTTGAGGTGCTGGTCGTAAGCCTGGAGCTTACCGCGGAGCTCACGGTCGCCCCGGCACTTGACGTAGATGCGCTCGTCGAGGCTGAGCTTGATCAGGTCGAGCGGTTCGTCGATCGATGCCATCGCGCTTGCTGTGTGGTTCTGGCAGTAAACTGAGCAAATGTATGCCACGGTCTCTGCAACTGGATTGGTCAAATTGATGGGAAAACACACCAATCGCAGCAGGTTCTAAAAGGTGGCATGTGCCGAATGCAAGCGCGCCATCCTTGGAAATGCGATTGCTGATTGGCCAAAATGAAAATTCAACGCACCAATGGCCTTTCCGGGTGCACGCCAAAGGCGATTGACTGGTCCGAGTCCCGGTCACAATTGAAGCTACTGCAAGATGGGCAAGGTCAAGAAGCGCCGCAACAACGGCCACAAGAGCGTCGTGCCGCCGACGGGCGGGCCGTCGCAGGCCGAGCTCGAGGACGCAGCCATGGAAGGCGGCATCCGCCAAGTGCCCGAGTTCCTCGCCGGCGTATGACCAATCATGACCTGGCGTGCTATGCTCATCACGCTGTGTAGTTGACGAGCTTGCAAGGCTCGGTGCGCGAAGCCACGTGCGTGGCGCTGGCGTCGTACTTTGGCGGCGACGACCAAATGTCGCCCGAGAAGGCCAAGCTGCTCCAAAAGATGCTGAACGGCGGCTTGATGAAGAAGCTTCTGCCGCGCATGGTCGACCACTCCAAGCTCGTGCGCCTCCACAGCATCGGCGCGCTTCGGTACTCTACACGGTGCATTGGTCGACGACGCTAAGGGAAGTTTCCTAGCAACATTTCCATTGCCGGTGGCCTCGACGGGTGCGAGTACATGACGTCGCAGGACGTCATCACGCCGTGCATCAAGCTCGTTGGCGAGTACACGACGGACAAGCACCTCAACGCGATCGTCAACAAGGACGTGCATGCGTTCCAGATCCTCGAGCAGATCTTTTCGCTCCTCGCCAACTTGGCCGAGAGCTGCTCGCTCGCGCTGGCGCAGATCACGCAGCAGCGCAACCTCGTGCTGCCCGCGCTCATCAAGTGCTTGCCGGTGAAGGCTGCGCCATCGATGCAGATGGAAGCGTCCAAGCTCATGCTTGTGCTCTCCGACAACAACCCCGAGTGGAACGACCTCATCAACGCCAACGTGAGCTACCAGCAAACGCTTTTGCAGCTGCTGCAGTCGCCCGAGCACAACATGTCGCTGCGTCTCACGACCATCGGTGCCGTCATCAACCTCCCGGGCGCGCTCGAGAACGCCGCGGGCATCGCGCTGCTGCTGCCCGTGCTCTCGTCGGCGGTCGCGTACGATGCTGTCGGCGTCGTGTCGCAGGCGCAGCTCGCTTCGGAGAGCGTCCCGATTGCCGCTGAAGCCATGGGCAACGCCGAGATCGTACACCCACGACGAGCCGATCGCGATAGACTAACATATACACTGCGTAGATTTCGGAAACCGAAGACGATGCCGACCGCGCCGCGTTGGAGGCTGCTAACAAGGCGCAGCACACGATCAAGACGTGGAAGGAGAACGTCCACGTGCTGACGCTTGGCCTCGAGATCATCTCCAACATGCTCGCCCTCGACGATGGTATGGATGTGTGTCCATATCGACGCAAGTCTCATGGATGCGTAGGTGAGGACGACGAGGAGTGGGGCAGCGACGACGAAGAAGGCATGGAAGAAGTAGGCTACGACGGAACAGCAAGAACCTTTGTGCTAACGTCAACTACAACTAGGCGGCGCAGTCGCTCGCGGGCCAGGACCCGCTCTCGTCGGCCAACCAGTCGGTCGCGAGCCAGGCCTTTGCGTCCGAGAAGATGCTGGCGCGTGTACGGACACTCTATCTCTATCGAGAATGTCAAGTTGATACATTTGGCTAGATGTATGCGATGCTGCAAGCGCTTGTCGTGATCCCGCCGACGCTCCACGCCGACATTGCCGATGACTTTGGCGTCATCCGCGAACGTGCCTGCAGCTGCTTTGCCAACTTGGTGCTCGCGGCGTCGCGCGCCGGTACGCTTGTCCTACCAACGATGATACTGGACGAAGAACGTCCATTGTAGAGCTTGAGGCGACGTTTTCGCTCACCCAAGTGTTTACGAACCTCATGACCATGTACACGCACGTCGTGTCGCTGGCGTCCGAGCGTGACGTCGCTGCTGCCATGTACACAGCCCGCTTCTCTCGTGACAAAAAGCTTATCGGGATTCTTATCGTAGCATGATGGCAGTCGGTGCGGTCGTGACGCGGTCGGTCGACGACAAGATCACGCTTGAGTGTGCGAACGAGCCGCTCGGCCTTGTCGTGGGCTGCGCGCAGAACGCCACTGCGTCGATCGACGCGCGCACGGGCGCTATCCGCGTGCTCGGGACGCTCGGGAAGAAGCCGCACTCAGCGGCCGAGAACCAAGTGCTTGGTCAGTGCCTCGGGGCGCTTCTCTCGGATACGGACCTGCAAGTGGTCTGCGAGGTGCTCAACGCGCTCTTTGATATCTACAGCGAGGAGCAGTACGACGAGGTGTTCTTCCGCCTCAACTTTCTCTCGTCGCTCGAACACGTAAGCGCGGGCATGAAGGCCAAGATCAAGGCCGAGGCCAAGACGCTGGACCGCGACCTTGTGAGCCATGCCAAGGAGACGCGCCTCAACCTCCTCCGCTTCATCAAATACAAGAAGCAGCACCGCTAAGAACGCAATGCCATCCTTATCTACATCGTCTAAGTGAGCGCACTCGCGTCGACCAGCTGTGTTTTTTGGCAGCGGTACCCGAGCCGAATGAGACGCATCGCGGCGCGGTCGCCGTTGTACTCGACGGTCTTTGTCGGCCAGTACGTGACGGCGGCGTCGAACGGCCCGTTGACGTACCACCGGATGCCAGTCGTGCCAAAGACGTCGTTGAGGCAGCTCGGCAGCGCCAATACCGCGGTCGTCGTGCTCTCGGCCGTCGCTGACGTCATGACGCTCACTTGTGACGTCACAGTCGTGTTGCAAAAACACTCGACGAGGTACGGGTCGGCGGCGGCGACGCTTGCCAGAAGCGCCACGACGATGCTGGCCATGCGGATCTTGGTCAAACGCGTTCAACGTGAAACGACGGTGGGTAAACGCGTTTAACGTAAAACGACGGTGGGTAAACGCGTTCAACGAAGAAGCGTGTGAGGCAGCCGAGAGGCATGGCTCATGAACGTAGTATCATTGCTCTTGTTTGTAGTAGCCCACTGGAGCAGAACCATTGAGCTCGTAAGAAGAGCACTAAGAATGGCAGTCAGATCTGAGCTTGGCATGACCTTGCGACGACGACGTTCAGAGGGTAGCTCGACAGCGGCGCCAAGACCAGCAATACGTTGGCGACGCCAGGGTGAGCTCGAGGTGGCGGGCGACCTGTCATCGTCAGCTCAAAAGACCAAAACCGCACAAACGAACTTGTTGTCATCAATAATGAAAGAAACATTTTCTTGGTTTTCATTCACTCCAATCATCATTTTTGAACTATCAGAGCAAGAGCCAGTCGTCCGAGGCAGTGCCATCGTCCGTGATGGCGAGCGTCTCCATGGCGTGTATAGGCGGCGCGTGGAGCAAGGCGTCGAGAATGCTTTGGTCCACTGCGCTGTAGTCGATGCGCTGCACGGGCTCGGTCTTGCCCGCCACCGGAGCATACGAGACGGACGGCAAGCCAAGTACCGACAGCATGTGCCCGCCGTCGTCGCAGTCGCGTGCGAGAGCATAGACGCGCGCATCGTAGGAGCTCTACACAGCCATCTATTGTGGCGTCGTGCCGACCGTTGCAAGTACCGGTGGACGCGACGTGGCCTCGGCTTGGCGCGCGACCAAGACCAGCACGACTTCGTACAAGCGGCGTTCGATCGCGACCGTCATGGCCGACGTCTCGCCCTACTTGGCGCTCATGCAATGTTCCAAGTGAAGTTGGCGTACGTCGATAGCTTTGTGGATGTCGACGCCAGCGCCACGCTCGAGCAAGAGAACCACGTGCGCGAGGATCGTCTCAGCGTCGACGAGACACGAGATGCAGTAGAGAAGGACACTGTGGCTACGTTCCTATAGCCTCGTGTCAGCTTGGAGACTCCAGAACCTTACACGTACGCCAGCGACGGCACTGGCCCCGGCCTCGAGCAGCTGCAGTGCAATCTCGGGCTCGTTGCAGTCGTACGCCACTGCGAGGGGAGATACCATGTCCTAGTAGACATATGTTGTCCATATTAGTACAGTGTCGAGCGTAGACTATCGCATTGGGCGCACCTCCTTCCATGCAAGGAGTGTATTGATGCTCTCGTCCGCACGCATATGCTGTAGAAAGCACTGCACGACGTTCTTGGCCCCGCGCGAGATGGAGAGCAGCAGCGCGTTCCCGCCGTCTTCCTACATCCGTCCAAATGCATACGCAGCTCACATGCACAGTGTGATGTACCGAGAGCACGCGCGCGCCGCGTGCCAAGAGGAAGCCAAGCATGTCCATATCGTTGGTCTCCACTGCACGGCACAGCACCGCGTGACTCGTGGAGAGAAGGAACCCCGCGCGCGCTGCGTCCATGGCTTCCAACGTCGCGCCGTGGGCAAGGAGCACGTCGATGATGGGAAAGTACCGCTTCTGCACGGCCAAGTGCAGTGCGACGCCGCCGGTGGCTCGCTACAAGGTGGT